AGAGAGAGAGAGAGAGAGAGAGAGAGAGAGGTCAACCTATTCATTACAGATGCACTAGTAGATCCTGCACTGAGCAGAGGCTGGACTAGATGATTGCTGATGTCCTTTCCACCTTTACAATTCTATGAACCTGACTTTATACTTAAAATAACTAACTTCTTTTGTTGTAGGGGCACCCATCAACACTGGGCACAGCCTAAGTCAGCTGTGGGTGGAGTTGTCACTTTTTTCTCTTTCTATCCTACCCAGAAGATAGCAATGCAAGTACACATTACCCCTGCCAAAAGTCTCAACTGCCGGCAGAAAGCTTGTAAAATCAGCACAACATTGTGAGTTGCCACTTATTTACTTTCAAGCCCAGTTGAAGGTACCAATGCTTGCCCACAAGAATTTAAACTTTAAAACCTTGCAGAACTTTATCATGTTATCCTGCCCATGGCTTAGAACTGGTTTAAAAAAAAAGAAGAGTAAATTTGGTGTTAACAAGGAACAGACCCTTCTTATTTAGGGTATTCAATTATGGCATATCTCCCCAGTTAGGTACAATGGCATCAGCAGTGCAATTATTTCCTCCCTAGGTGACAATTATTTCCTCAAGCAACAAAGTATTAAAAGTTTATCTTATCATTAATGTCTTATCATTTTCTGCTGCCATCTCTTACAATTTCCTATGTCCATCCTTTTCAGTATGGGTAAATGAATGTTCCTGCAGAATGAAAACCAAGTTTTCCAATAACACAACACTGTAAGAGGGGCAGGGCAGACATTAAGACTGCACAGCACACCAGGGATACCAGATAGGTAGGAAAACAGATTTTCACAACATATGCAGGCAACAGAGAGGAAGCTGAAATGCAGAAAAACTGGAAAATGAAAGTCACCAGTTAGCTATCAAAACAAAATACAATTCCACAAGCAATCTTGAACACAAATGCTGAAGACCTGCTTACAATATGGCCCCTAATTCCTTTAATGATCCAGTTTGAGTCTTTACAATGTATGCTTTATAACAGGTTTCCCAACTTAGCTTCCCTCTGATGCACTGGGACTCCAATTCCCCAGATTTCTAGCCAACATGAATCTGCTTTATCATCATGAATACAATAGCTGTTAAACAGGAGAATTTCTGTCTTATACAGTATGTTCTCTAAGATAATCAATAGCATGAATTTTCTCCAAATCCTTACCATTATTTAGATATCAGTAGGAAAACCTATCCCTGAGAAAGAAAGAAAGAAAGAAAGAAAGAAAGAAAGAAAGAAAGAAAGAAAGAAAGAAAGAAAGAAAGAAAGGATCATCCTCAAATAAATACCTGCAATCCTCTCATGTTTTGAAACCGTGCTACCGTGTCACTTATGGTATATACTCGAACATGGCCCATGTGAAGCTTTCCAGAAGGATATGGAAACATTGACAGGATATAATACTTTGGCTTTGATTTCTAAACAAAACAAAGCAAATCACTTTCAGCACAAGTCACATAGCAGTATTTTTTTCTTTTTTACATTGTTTTTTCTTTTTTACATTGCTTATCTTAAAAGGAAAGCTACACTTTCTAAGCCAAGGGTATATTTTAATAACTCTGCAGATTTCATATAAAATAGATCACAAAATGTTACACATGGCTTTACTCTCCTACAATACATTTTTGCGAATAATACATGTGTAATAGCATGTGCAGGCTATATGTGCAGACACTGGCTGATCTCAAAAAAGCAAAGCAGATCCTGATCTGGTTAGCTCTTAAATGGGAGACCACCAGAAGATTCCAGGGGTGTAGGCTTAAAAAAAAACATCCTGGAAGAAAGCAATTACAAACTATTTTTATCTTGTTGCCAGGAAAAAAGCATGAATGTATCCATGTAGTTATCAGGAATCAAGTTCAACTTGAGGGAGACTTCATCATTTATACAGTGTATTTGGGGTACGAACTGTATATATGTATATAATATGAAAGAAAGGTGAATAGGATATGTGCATATATGAATGATTCATCATTTGGCACAGCATGCAACCCTCCAAGCTGACAAATTGAAAAAGCCCACTCCTATGTAGGAGTACTGGAGTTCTCACAAAGAAACCAGTTCAGATCCCTGCATAATCATAAAGCTTACTGGGTGATTAGAAACCATTTCTCCTTCTATTTACAGGGAAACTGGAATAACTCCTGTTCATTCTTTTAAGCTCCTTGGATGAAAATGATTCAAGCACAAAATAATAGCAACAACAGACATCCAAAACTATCTCCTGCATTTGAATTGAGTTAATGCATTTCCTGCATTAGGAAAATATATACAAGTAGTGTTTCTGAATGGCGGTAGTAAGCTGATGCACTGTGGGAAAGAAATCTAAACAATGTGGCTCAACAAACTGGTAACAGCTATAAATAATCAGAGTTCAGGATTTCTTAAAACCACCTTCCACTGGAGAGAAGAAACACATATATAAGTAGTAACTAGAGAAAACTCAAGGACTAGAACAGTGGGTGGCAACAGGCATTAGAAGAATGAACTGACGGGCCCCAAAGGCTGCAGTGGAAACATACAGAGAAAGTGTCTAAACAGTAGGTACAACTTAATTATGTAGGGATTGTTTGTTTTGGTGCCTTTAAGTCAGTATTGACTCCTGGCAGCTGCCTGGACTAGTCCCTACGGTTTTTTTGGCAAGGTTTTTCAGAAGTGGTTTGCCATGGCCTCCTTCCTAGGGCTGAGAGAGAGTGACTGGCCCAAAGTCAGCTGGTTTCATGCCTTGGGCAGGACGAACTCATGGTAGCCTGATGCCTTAACCACTAGGCCAAACTGGCTGTCATGTAGGGATTATGTATGGAATTATTGGGAGAGGAAAAAATTATGTTTTAAACATGTAATCTTCAATTTTTGCTGCAATCCTTACATCTGTTTCTGTGATTTTGCTGAACGATTGCTTTATTCTTGAACGCCACCAGTTTTCAACTTTCTTCCTGGTCTCCGCTGTATAATTTTGTTCCCACTTTCCTGTTTCACTAAAAATAGTTCTGCTGCATCTTGGGATTCGCCTCTTCTGCCATTTAATTGAGTCTAACACTCCACTCAGTTGTCTTCTCCAACATGATGGGAACACAAAGAGCTTATTGCAAGGAAACCACATTCTCCGCAGAGTAAGTTGGCAGTCCTATTAAAAACAGAAAATGATTTTTACTTTCAGTAATAATTAGCACTCAGGAAAAGATGAATTCTTTTAGTTTAAGAAAATGTTGTTTTTTGGGGGGGGGTTCAGAATTTCTAATAGTAAAACATTTCCAAAAATATCATAGGTTTGCATGCTGTCTGTAAATCAGTTTTTTTAATACTTTGGCTGGGCCACATGGACCTGTGCTATTATACTAAGTAAAACTTATTAGAGCCAGAAGCCAACAAAACAAACAAACAGAAAAATACAAAGAGATAAACTGATATTATAAGATACTGAATGTTATTTCATTTTTTAAACACTACTACTGTGCAAAATTCCCTGTGGAAATGAGGGTACACTTGAAATAAATAACAAATTTTTATGGCAGATATATCCATAGAATAATCATACTGGGTAGTGGTTTCTTCAGATTTGTTCATCTATAATCTTCTAAACATAATAAATACTTTGGCAGTATACTTCCTCGTGAGATGGGTGGTGTCCAAATTCGGAAGGGAGGGAGGGAGGGAGGAAGACTACAGAATGCAAAGGAATGTGTGTCACTTAAGAGGTAGACTTACATGTTCAGGACACCTCTTGAAAGTGTATGGCTCCACCACTTCAGAATGACAAATTGAAAAAGTATAATTGATATTCCCCATGTTAATTGCTCTTGAAATCTACCCTTTCAGAGAGAAGAGTCTTTGTTCTACAAAAAGATATTTTTATAGATCCAAACAGCTTGCAAAGGAACCCTCCAATATGCCCCGAGTAAACACATCCACTAGGAATCAAGGCTGGCACATTTAATTTTTTTTTTTAAAGTCCTATAATTTATTACTGAACAGCCTGGTTATACAATACTTTTTGATTAAATCAGTCAATCAATCAATAAGACATAAAATAAAGGCAACTGTCCTGCGGGATAAAGGAAGTGCCCAGGGATATATGAGGGGGGGGGGGAATTACAAGTGTGATCTGTTTCTATGAGATGTTTGTAAACATTCAACATATCACTGACATTTGATTTCCATTCATGGGTATTTTAGTTCATCTCAGTTTATAATCTACTGAACTTTCATACTCTATGTATCAAATTAAGTTGACTGTTATAATCCAGTATAATCCCGCAGTCTATAAACTACTCTTTTTTAGTATATTAGTCAAATTTAAAATATATGTATTTATAGTTGTATTACTCCTGGGCTTTCGCACTAAAAATCAGATTCTATGACTGCCTCTTGCTGGGGGTAGGAAACCTGCAGCCCTCTAGATCAGTATTTCTCAACTTTAGCAACTTTAAGATGTCTGGACTTCAACTCCCAGAAAGCTGGCTGGGGAATTCTGGGAGCTGAAGTCCAGATATCTTAAAAGTTGCTAAGGTTGAGAAACACTGGTCTAGATGTTGTTGAACTTCAGCTTCCAGCAATTGCAGGCAAGATGGCACATAGAGGCGAATATGTGTAGCTCAGGGTTCAACTGTGGAGTCCTTGGGGTTCTCTGAGCTTGGTTCTGTAGCTACCCGTTACCTGGCCGGGTAATGGAACGTTTGCAAGAAAAGAACCAAGCTCAGAGAACCCCCAAGGACTCCAAGATGGCACATGGTGAACAACGCTGAGAGTTAGCAGCTTTTCCTCCGGACGACGACGAACGACTCCCTTTAACATGAAGTTATAAGCAAACATCCTTAGACTGACAGCAGAAATCAGAGGCTATTTTCCGTTCACTCGACTTTTCAGGTTAACCTACCACGAAGCGGAGAAGGATTGATACATGTGCAGACTGAGCGGCTGACCCTGGGGGAGGAAAAAAACGCGTGTCGCAAGCAGGGGAAGAGAAGCAACGTCCTCGGCAGGGGAGAGCATTACTTACAAACGAGGAGGAAGGACTGCGGTTCACATGTCCCGCAACTCAGCTACCAGGATGGGCGCTGCCATCTTAATTTGCGCTCCTCCCCTCGTGAGCAAAAGGCCGGCTCGCGCAGGCGCAGAGCCATCCCGGTGGAGAGGCGTAAATCGGGAGAAGCCGCTTGATAGAAGAGTGAGAAATCCGCGCATTTTGAAAAAGGGGCTGGGGCTCGATTCGGCTGGAGCCTGAGGAGTTCTAGGGGAAGAGGTGGGTTGAAATGTTTAGCTTGCTCGCCCTCCCCCTTTCCCTCTCTTTCTTGTTTCGGGGACAAATGAGATCCTTCCTAAATGGTCTTTGTAGATAGATCAAGCTGTTTCCCTACTTTGCTACGCTTCTGTTCCCCGGAATTACTATTGTACGTTCCTCCTTGCCAAGTTTCTAGAACTGTAAGGCGCTTTTTGGGTGCGGAGCTGCCTGATGTTTTAAGTGGATTTGTAATCCTGCAATCACCATCTAGATGGTTCTTTTCGTTATTGGATCGGTTATATGGTGATGGTAGTATCTCAGTGGGATTACGGTCTTATCATTTATTCTGTGATTATATTTTTGCATTTTCTCTGCAGGGTGACTGGATACAAATGAATAACGCTCGCGATCTCTCTTTTTCTTTCCGCCTTTATATCCCCTGAAAATGCGGCATTGCATGCTGGGATAAATCCATTTCAATCATGGGCTGTTGATTTCTGTTTCAACGTTGGAAGAGAAGTTCAGTGGGAGGGGGAAGCAAAAAAAAAAAATTCAGACTCGGAAATGTGCACTTTCCTGGCAAGACGTAGTTTTATGTGTTGTTAGCAGTTAAATATGGCAAAACCATGTTGCCATTTTTTAAAAAATAACAGTGTTATGCAGAGCAGGATGCCATACAAGTTATAAGTTTCTATCCTCCCCTCCCCTCCCCTCCCCTCCCCCTTTTCCCCCCTTTTTGGCATTGAGTGTACTGGTTATATAAATAGCAAAGCAAATTCCTCAGTTGAAAGAAAGTGATTTCTGAAAACGGATTTTAAATGTTCTTATCTATCTGGTCAATGTATTTATTGAAAATACTTACGTCTTTAAAAGCAAAAACACTCCCAAGATGGCCTGTTCAGGAAAACCTCCTCCAATAAAAGTATTGCAAGAATAAAACAGCAATGCTGATAAAATTCACAAATGCCAATAATCAAAATATACAGCCCAGACAGTGCTAACATGAAGAATAGGCAACTATCTAACCTAGACAAACACAGAATTAAATTGTTTTGAGTCAAAATGCAGGTTTTAAGCATCAGGCCTAAACAGATTTCCCAGTCTTTTTATGCATATATCCACTTCTTGTTACTTCAAGTTTTCTTCAAATAGTATAATCTAGCACTGGGGAATTCTGGGAGTTGAAGTCCACACATCTTAAAGTTGCCCAGGTTGAGAAACACTGATCTAGAGCAAGATCTTTCAAACTGTGGGCTACAGAAGAGTTCCACAAGAACTTGATGGGGCTCTGTGAGAGGGAAAAATCATTAGAATGTAGAATTTTCTATCACTAGAGCTTTGCCTCTTGATAGGGATTCTGGAATTTTTTTAACAGGTTCCATGGCATGAAAAAGTTTGAAAATCCCTGATTTAGAGCACAGTAAAGATGGAGAGTACTTTTTCTGAGTTTTTCCTCCATGCCCTTAAATAATTGGGAGCTAGAAATCATTGTGGATTACCAGTAGATCTGTGTCTATCTTCTGCCTGCCTTTTTGAACTTTCTGACATGGTTTGCACTTTCTGCTAAATCTTAATGTGGAAGGAAGAGGCAGGGCCTGAAGCTTGCTTGTCAGTGAGTAAGGTAATATGGCAAAAAGAGAAAATTATTTTTGACACCCATTTGCTCATTCAGTAAGTCAAGCTTCTTCAAATTGGTGCCCTCCTGCTAGATTGATTTACAACTGCTGTCATTCATATTGGCTTCACGGTGATGGAAGTTGTAGTCCAGTGTACTTTGAGGGTGCCAGGTTGGGGAAGTGACAACTGCTAATAACTTAAATGGGCCAATTTTCTTGTACATGGAGAAAAATGGAAGTTGGTTTTACACACTCTTGACTTCCATTATCTTCTTTCTGTTTCTGGTTTAGAGTTTCTAAAATGCCCCGTCAAGGCCGTAAAACTACAAAATCCACTTCTACTCTCCCACTACGCACACCAGCCAAGGACTCTTCATGTCAACCGCTTAGTGCAACTTTCTCAGTGGACTACAATACTCTGAAGAGGGCCCAGCTGCAACTCCAGTGTAAGAAGCTGGGCCTTCGTGCCACAGGAAAGGTGAGAGGAAGTTTATTTATTTATTTATTTATTTGTTGGATTTCTCCCCCGCCCATCTCCCCCACAATGGGGGACT